AGAACTGAAGAAGTGGTTTGGATAAGCTACAAAACATTTACAACAAGTCCAGCTGAAGGAGCCTAACTACTACTTTACCATGACCTAAATAAGTGAGAATCTTCATAGACCTCTGAAACCCTCATGGTCCACCTAAGTTCAACTCACCCCAATCACCTATCCTAGGCTCAAGTTATACCTTTAGGCTTATACAGGACTCTCTAACTACCCTCATGTGACTCTGCTATGTCAATCACTAAGCATCAGCACTATCATCTGGGAGGAAAGAGTTTAAGTCAAATACTCCTCCATAAATGGAAGATGTGAATATTTCTCCTTGCTTCTGGCAGTCAAACAGAGCATTGGGACAACTCATGGGGCCACCGGGCAATAGGGGATCATGGGGCCCCTGTGTCCTTGTCCAAACTCAAAAAAGTCTATGAAAAAGGTACCAGGGGCATCTCATGGGGCCCCCTACTGACCCTGGGCCCTCGGGCAGTGCCCAAGTTTCCAAATGGTCAGTCCGCCCCTGTCCTATACTCTTCATTATTGGTAGACATGTGCCCCAATCTTCTACCCATTTATTTGCTATGTGTTCACTTTTATAGACTAAAAACTTTTACTAGATTGTGCAGGCTTTAAGCTTTTCTGTACAATGCATTCTGTAATCCCGTGAGAACAGCACCAGACATTGTTTTATATTGTTTATACCACAAAAGAGGATTAGAATGTGATAATATTTAACCCCATCAATATCATATTTGTTTACTGCTTTTTTAATGAATTCTGGTCTTTTGGTTAAGAAACATGGTTAAACACCAATTACTTGGCCAGCTCACAGAGAAAGTAAAACATTTAATCAAAAAATCAAAATTCTTTGAAAGGGGAGACTAGTCAGTCTGTAATTAGCATTTTTCCTCTCTGAAAGGCAGTTACTGCATATACAAGGGGGCACAAAACCTAAAATTGGCATTTAGGTACTTGGTGGTGTGGGGTTTGGTGCCAGAAAGCTGATTCCCCTTCAGAGAAGTGGTTAGCCCTATGTGTGGGACATTCTGCTTGCAAGCTGTCTGTTTGCTGTAGGTCTGAGTCATAACAATAGGCTGTATTTGCGGGAGAACTGAATAATATTAGCTACCCCTTTATTAGCGGCCAGGAGGAATGTGCTGCCAGGCAATTTTCCTAATATTTTTTATAATAAATTACATTTTATGATTGCTCAGTTTGCTTATGCTAAAATACCAATCTTCCAGAAAACCAACTAGCACGTTTATACACACCAAAAACTACAATAGCCATTAGCATTTTGTAATAAATACATCTCATACAGAAAAAAGTTCATTTTTTGGTTGAATCAAAACAAATTAGTCAAGTTTCACAATTACACACGCTTACACAATTAGAACATGTATATAATGGCTCATCTGCTAGTGTAAAAGCTTTGATATTTCATGTGTATGTAAAGACATTGGGGTTGGTTTACTAAAACTGGAGAGTGCAAAATCTGGTGCAGCTGTTCATGGTAGCCAATTGGCTTCTAATTTCAGCTTGTTCAATTAAGTTTTGACAATAAAACCTGGAAGCTGATTGGTTTCTATGCAGAGCTGCTCCAGGATTTTGCACTGCTTAGTTTCAGTAAATCAACCTCATATTTTCAGTTTTGGAGAGAGTGTCAAAGCGTTAGAACCCCTGTCAATTTTTATTGCTGTCTGTGTCTCCACCGTTGAGATTCATCCTCTGAATTTGTCCTTAAAAAATCTACAATTTTATAGTTGACATAGAAATAGGATAAAGCTGGCCATAGATGGGTCTGTTTTGATCATTCAACCAACTGGTTGAATGGAAAAAAGTGACCCGATTCCCCCATGTACACATTCAAGGTGGATGGGGAAATCCTCCCTCTGTGACATGTATTCTGACAGTGGGGAAACTTCTTTATGCACTGATATGTACAATCTAAGATCCCTAACTTACATTCATACATACACATACTAGGGCCAATTTAGACAGGATCCAATTAACCTACCAGCATGTCTTTGGAGTATGGGAGGAAACCAGAGTACCCGGAGGAAACCCATGCAGACACAGGGAGAGCATGCAAACTCCAGGAATGTGGTGGTTGGGATTTGAACCAACGACCCTAGTACTGCCAGACGGAAGTGCTAACCATTTAGCCACTGTGCTGCCCACAAATATGGTGGGACAACTGTATTTGTGGCCTTTCAGTACTTTTAGATGATACAGAGTAACCACTTGCCTACCGGCACTTATGCCCCCTTCCTGCCCAAGCCAATGTTCAGCTTTCAGCACTGTCGCACTTTGAATGACAATTGCGTGGTCATGCAACATTGTACCCATATGAAATTTTTATCATTTTTTTCACACAAATAGAGATTTCTTTTGGTGGTATTTACTTGCTGCTGGGTGTTTTATTTTTTGCACTATAGACAATAAAAAGCAAAAATGTTGAAAAAGAAAAAGTTTTTCTTTGTTTCTATTATAACATTTTTCAAAAACAGGTAATTTTTTTCCTTCACTGATGTGTGTTGATGAGGCTGCACTGATGGGCAGCACTGATGAGCGGCACTGATGGGCAGCACTGATAGGTGTCATTGTTAGGTGGCACTGACTGGCGGCACTGCTGGGTACTGACTGGCAGCACTGCTGGGCACTGGCTGGCAGCACTGCTGAGCACTGACTGGCAGCACTGACTGATGGCACTGACTGGCAGCACTGCTGGGCACTGATGGGTGGCACTGCTGGGCGGCACTGATGGGTGGCACTGCTTGGCGGCACTGACGGGCACTGGTGGGCGGCACTGGTGGGCACTGATGGGCACAGGTGGTGGGCAATGCTGGGCACTTGTGGGTAGCACTGGTGGGTACTTGTGGGTGGCACTGCTGGGCACCAATCATCAGGGCACTGATCATCAGTGCCCTGATGATCGGTGCCGATCCCTCCTCTGACAACTACCTGTTCTCGGCAGTGCTTTCCTCACACTGTGACAGCGTGAGGAAAGTGCAGCCGACCAGCAATTGCATTTCCCGGTGATCAGTGTGTCATTGGACACGGCTGATCACGTGGTAAAAGGCCGCTGTGATTGGCCTTTTACCATAGCACGTGATCAGCTGTGTCCGTAGGAGTTTAGCCCAGCAATCACCAAGAGCGCGTTCTGGGAGGACTTCATATGACGCCCTCCCAGAACTGTCCAGCCGCAGTGAAGCCATCATTCAGCTATCTGCGGTCGGCAAGTGGTTTTAATAGTTTGCATTAAAAGTTTTCAATAAAAAGTGGAATTTTTACTATATGTGGGGTTCTTACGACTTGTTTGAAGTGGTGTGAGAAGTACTTGATGATTCCAATTCTGAGCACCCACTAACTGGACTGGTGGAGCTGTTCATGTCATTGGATCAATAGCTTTTTAATCATTTCTTACAATATCTAAAAAAAAAAAAAAAGTTTGGCTTTATGTGACACAGTGAAATTGCCAATATGAATATTCACCAAAAATGTATAGACTTCAATAAGTTTAGCCCAGCAACGACCAATGATGGTAACCCCTGGGATCAAGGTACATCCATTTGCATACTTGACATTGGAATGTGCAGGAGAGCTCTTTTGGTAAATGCGAATGAGGCTGTAAAGCCCAGCTTTAGAACAATTAAAGATTCACCCTTGCAGTGGGGCACCTCTACACTGTAAGTGTTTAATGCACATTATGTCTAGGATTGTACAGAATGGAAGCAAATATGTTTTTTACTCTTGGTTCCAGTAGGGCTCCTCCAGCCCTGTGAATGGGCCTGGCAGAACCTCTGTAAACTGCAACTGGCTATGGTCACAGTACTGCCTTCTCGGAGTGCAATATGTGGTAATGTCCCTTTATTATATATGATGAAACTGAAGCTCTACCCATAGACCGGAGCTTCGGGCAAAGGACAGGCCAGAGCAGGGCATAAGATGAGTGATAGAGCGTGCACTGTAAACCTCGAGACATAATGAACATTTACCTTTGCAGTACAGAGGACCCACTGCAAAGGTGATTTTTTTTTTTTAAATTCCGAGAGTTGGGTTATAAAAAGTAAACTCATATGGACGCATTGGGACTGTACCAATTTACTCATTAGGAATAGTACACATTTTCTGTGTTAATGCTCTCATTAATATCTTCCAAACTGGTAATAAATGATTTTACATACACCAAATCAAACCTTTTTCATTTATTATAACAAAACTGAGGAATTTTTGTCAGACTGTAATATTATAATATACTTTACCAACCTACCTTTTTGTGCTCTGAATTTGGTTTATTCCCCTCAGTGCACAAAGAAGTATGTCCAAAGGTGGGCTGTTGACCCGAGAATACAGACAGTGGCAGTGTGATTCCCTGTTGACTTACAGGGCTCCGACCAAGTGCATTCCACCTTGATAAAAACAGAAACATCCAGAGTGTCTCTGCTTTATGCCTTTAAAGGCATTGTCAACGTTCACATGTTTTTGTTGTTTTAACTTGGTATTAGTATACTTATATTCTGTGTTGTTTGTTTGCCTTACCTTGTAATGGTGGGCTCACCTGTTGTGGCTGCAGTTTGTAGTGTCCTGGTTGATTCACCAGGTCAACTGGGTCACACAACATCCAGGGCAGCCTTACCATTTCCTCTGTATTACTTCACAAATGTTGGAGTGCAAATTATATAAACACCGCATGCTGATCACTATGTTAATTGTTCTACCTGTTTGTATCTCTTTCATATCTAATTATTATTTAGCCCTCACCTGAAGAGCACTAAACTCAGAGACCCAGGAATTGTGGGATTTATAGTTTTATTCACAGGAAGTGTCCGGTCTTACATTACAGGCACAGGCCATGCATTAACCACTTCATTTATAGACATGGGCCGGACGGGAGCACTGCCAAAGCGGGTTGACATTTCTAAGCGTCACCGCATTCACTGCCTGTGCGTGCTCCCTGGGAGCGCGTGGCACCGTGATCCGGTGCACGCTGTGTCCGGAACGCTGTACAGGACCTCTGTGTGAGGTCCCAGTTCATGTGATCACTGATTGGCCAATCAATGATCACATGAGCATTGACATCATTGCTTACTACTTGTGAAATCTGTGAATGATCACAGAGGTCACATGGTACAAGGCCATTCACAACAGACTTGTACCATGTGACAAGCTGTAACCAATCACAGTTGTCGCAGTATTTCTCAATCGCTGCAAGAATACAGCCAGAGAGAAGGAGAAGTGATTGCTTTTACACCCTTTATGGCTGTAAAAGCAATCAGTGTAAAAAAAGAAAACAAAATCTTCATCAGCCCCCACAAGAAGTACAGTGTCACTATGGTGACACTGTACTGCTAGGGTGACAGTATATTAAAAATAAATACATAATAATATAAAAAAAATTAAATTAAAAGAAAAAAAATTATAATATTTTTGGTTAGAAACTAATTTGGGTTATTTTTTTTACTAAAAAGATAGCTGAATACATTTTGGCCAATATTTATGAAGAAAGATTATTTGTTTGCAAAATTTTATAAGAAAAATACTTTTTTTTTTCAAAATGTTTGGACTTTTTCATCTATATAGCAAAAAAATTAAAATACCCAGTGGTAAATAAATACCACCAAAATAAAGTTTTATCTGTCTCAAAAAAAATGCTAAAAAAATTCATATAGGTACAGTGTTGCATGACCGCACAGTTGTCATTCAAAGTGTGATATCACTGAAAGCTGAAAATTGGCCTGGACAGGAAGGGATGAAAGTGTCCGGACTTGAAGTGGTTAACCTGTGCAGTGCCATGCTGCATGCCTCATGGGTGTGTGCAACCTTTAGCATTAGGGTGTGCACCCCAAAGCTCAAACACACGAGTGTGTGTGTGTATGTATATATATATATGCACTGACACATTGATCTTGCTGCTGGTACATCTCTGAGGGAGATCTTTCCCATCTCCCCGCTGGTACATAGAGCAGCAATAATGCTGATATGCACAGAGTGATTAGGGTGTGCCCTGGCACATCCAGCACAGCCTGTGCACACTCCTATAGCTTCTGAACAGAAACTACTGACACAGGATTGAGAACAGGACTATTCAAGATCTGGAGCGGGAGTTGGAGGAGCAAAACACAGAGAACCCAGATTTATTAAATAAAAAGCGCTTGCAGACCCACTTATTGATTTGAAGGAGTCTGCACCTCTGGTGAGTGCATTAGACACAAGTGTGGTGAATGAACACAAGGGAGAAGGTACACACTAGTGACAGAAGAGTGCAGGGATTTTTACATTACTGTAATTTGTGTATCAGCATGAGCTGAATATAAAAAAGATGGAGGTGCACTGTAGTGCAAAAGGGGTGTCACAGTTTTTTGTCAACATAGTTGAAGCACTTGTTGGAGCTTATCACATGGCTGCTAGTGGCAGTTTAATTTACTTTTTTGTTTTGTGATCAGGGGCGGACTGACCATTTGGAAACTCGGGCACCGCCCGAGGGCCTGGGGTCAGTAGGGGGCCCCATGAGATGCCCCTGGTACCTTTTTCATAGGTTTTTTTGAGTTTGGGCAAGGACATAGGGGCCCCATGATCCCTTATTGCCCGGGGGCCCCATGAGTTATCAGTCCGCCCCTGTTTGTGATTTACATGTGTCAAATGGCAATACGATTTTCAAATAAAATCATTTGTTAATAAAATTGCCAGGGGAAATTCAACTTTTACATCAGTAATTAAAGCCCCCACTTTGTGTACGGTGGTCACTTGGTACTGTTCCACACTGATAATGTTGGTACTAGTAGAGTGGCAACAGAAACATAAAACTTGTATAGAACATGCAAGGCAGATTTACTGTATATAACTGCATTTTTTTACAATGCCCCACAGCAGTTCGCATCTCTGACCTGTTAGGAAACAGTTTGTAAAACTAGTGGCCATTTACCTTGTCCTCTGGGAAGTCATAAAAATGCCATTAGCAGATAAAAGGTAAGCAACTGCAAGTGAATGATATGGCAAAAAACACCAGTAACCTAATGCATAAGGACATTAATTAATTTCCAGCTAATCTTTTAGAGGAGATATACACTGGATATAATAAATGTATATGTGTGTATGTACTGTGTATGATATATATATATATATATATATATATTTTTTTAGATTAAAGTTGATTTCTGTCAGTTTATTCCTATATTATGTGTAAGTATTTTAATGGACTAACAACTGTTTGTAAGCAGGGTTTTTTATGTTTGGATTGTTACTGAACTATGCAGTTGTTTGTACAAAAACACATTCTTCCTACTATATGACACCTTGAACATCAGGTCTCTCCAGTAAAACATAATTTATGCTTTTCATTTTTTTCATGATCCACCTCTATATTTATCACAAAACAGAGTGAAAAACAGTCACAATATTTTTTTTGGAATGTAGTCTGAGCAGTTACTGTTCTGCTGACAGCTATACATTTTTTACCTTATAGATACAGTGTTTATATTAGGTACTTTTTCCAACTTATATTGCAGCGTTTATCGAAAGGTCATCTTAGTAAGATTTTTACATAGATACTTGCAGATTGGCCATTAGAGGTAGCTCTCAGAGACCCAAGTCAAATTCTCTATCTCTATCATAAAGTGAAATTGACAAAAAAAAAATACCCTCTGGGGAAACTATATGCAAAGCAAGTATCCTAGGAAACTTTTGTTTTGTGTTGTTTTTGTTGATTAACCATTTGCACTCCTAAGGATTTACCCCCCTTTCTGACCAGGCCATTTTTTAGTGTTACGGTGCTGCTTTACTTTAACTGACAATTGCGCGGTCATGCAATGCTGCGCCCAAATGACATTTACATCCTTTTTTCCCATGAATTGAGCTTTCTTTCGGTGGTATTTGATCGCCTGTGCGATTTTTATTGTTTGCTCTATTAAAAAAAAAAAGACCAACAATTTTGAGAAAAAAAAAAACAAAATTTTTTACTTTTTGCTATTCAACATGTCCAGTAAAAAAATAAAAAAAAAATATAATTTCTTCATAAATTTAGGTAAATTAATCGGTTTACGTGAAAGTTATAGCATTTACAAATGGTAGTATATATATACTGGAATTTTTTTTTTTTCTACTAGTAATGGCTGTGATCAGCGACCTATAGCGGGACTACAGCGGGCATTCTGATACTGGGGGGAACTGACTTGGTGTCACTGACATCCCCAGTGACACCAGTACAGTGATCAGTGCTAATGAAAAGCACTGACACTGTACTAATGGCACTGGCCACGAAGGGGTTAACGTGTGGGGTCATCAAAGGGTTCGCTGTGTGCTGTGTGCTGTTTTACTATGGGGGCTGTGTGTGTTTTTCACTGTAAGCACATTGCTTTATATGGCTGTGCTATGCAGAGCCATACAAAGCAGTACGCAGTAGCTGACAGGAGAGAGATCTGTATTGTTTATATACAGTTCTCTTCCCCCATTGGCATTACTCGGTAATCACCAGGTGATTGACAGCCGAGGCCGTGAATGGCGGCACGGGTAGGGCACGCATGCGCCCCCTACCCAGAACTACAAAATCACGTATATATACGTGATTTTGCGCACCAGTGCTGCTCTGTAGCAGTATTCCTGCTAAAGAACAGACGGCAAGCGGTTAATACCTTTCTCTCTTCTGAATAAATTACTCTTGGCTTTACAATATGATTTCTGAAAAGGAGAGTCAACATTCATTATAATTAGGGATGAGATTTGGGTTAGGGATAAGCATGGTTTTGCAGCAAACCCAAACCTGTTCACAGTTCGTGAACCTGTTGAACTTATACCGTTCACTGACATAGCAACTGACTACCATAAATGCACATCCTGGTCTCTGAACTTATGTCAGGTGGCTCTGAATGGCCAGTAGTGGGGCATTCTTATGTTCCAACCTCTCACTATAAAAAGGCAGAGTTCTATTAGAATCTGATCGCTCCTTCCTTTCTACAACATGCTTTCTTTCAGGACTATGAGATATACTGTAGGTATTGCTGGAACTCACCTATTGGTTTATACAGCACCTACAGGTTCATTTCTGACTCAGTTTGTCAATCATACTTAATATTTAGCTGTGCTCAGACCAACACCTATTGCCTGAGCATTAGGTTCATTTCCTAGCCCCAGTCCATGTTATTTCCTGTTTCTCCATTTACTGAATACGGCTTGTATTTATGTTTGTTTGTTCATTTTGGGCCCACTCTTAGATGGTGGCAGTCGTCCCTTTCAATTTCAGGGAGAGGTAAAAATTTCCTTTGAAGCCTAACCCCAAAAATTTTCTTCTCCCTGTAGCTATCACCACAACACCCTTTTTTTCTAACCACCAGCATTCCAAAAACATGGCTGATATACACTCTTAAGGGGAAAATAGCACATTAGATAAAAGAAATGCTTTAAGGAAGCTGAGGCGGAGGAAAAGGGTGACTTGGAATCTCCAGAAAATGGATGATACATTCCCCTTGCAGAAAAGCAGAAAGAGGGAAATGGTACACTAGCAGTACTTACAGGAAATGGTTTTCCAGCTCCGCCACTACCTCATGTGACATTTATCACTGGTAAGGTAAAAAAAAACAGCTCCCCAGAGCATCACTACACTGTCTATCTGATATGTGCAACCAAAAATGAAGATATGGGGAAGGGTGGGCAGCCTATGGATGTAGGATTCATTTGTTGCATTGCATTGCATTCATTTGGCAGCGTTACTCCCAAAAACAAAAATATAATATTTTTCAGCTTACCAGTCCCTAAATGTGGTGACATCATTGTCAACCTGGGGAAAGGGTAGTGTGAGAAATCACTAGCAGATTTAGGTAGACATGATTAAAAATAAAAATCCTGCTACCACTTTTTAGGCAGCATCAGCAACTGTTTTTGCCTCTTGGGATAAAGGTTTTCCATAAATGAATAAAAGCTGACCGTTGTACGCTTCCTTGTCAGCTAGTTTGTCTCAACCCTTTAATTTCCACTTTTGCTGGACAACTTGGTCTGTTAAAAGAAGTTGAAATATAATAGACTTCAATGGCCGAACCCCTAGGTGAACATAAAGGAAACAAGCCTAAGAAAAGGATTCAGCCACACAATTAAAGACATTCTATGGGTACAGCATACACTTTTATTTTATAACAGCACTGTAATAGCAATGTAAATAGTTATTTTTGACAATTCAGCATAAGCTTAGGTTAAAAAAAAAATCTC